TAAATTGCCCAGTGATTTTAGAAAAGAAGATGTGCAATATGTGCCTTTTTTTTTTTTTTTTTTTTTCTTTTTCTTCTCCCTGCTTCCCTATCTTAGGCGTGCTACTCGAAGAGTTCGAGAGCTGTGGTGGCAGGGATTACCCCCAAGTGTACGTGGGAAGGTTTGGAGTCTAGCTGTGGGAAACGAATTAAATATCACTCCTGGTATGTCTTAACCAACTTAATTTTGCATTAAAATGTGATCCATTGTTTTCAAAGAAAAATGTCAACTTTCATTTAAAAAAAAAATCAGTGTATTTTTTTGTGAAGAATTGTATTTTGCAAGGTTAGGAACAGCTGTGTTTTACAAGTAGACATCATAGCCTTATAAATTATGGAAGCAAAGTTCAAAACCTGCTTACAAGAACATTTTAGTGTTGTAATAATTAAGGTGGGGCTTCCCCTCCAAAAAATAATTTTTATGTTTAAAATTAAGAAATTTTAGCTTTGGTTTCTTAAGGGAGTGAAAAGAGGAATTGCTTTATTTCATAATGAATGATTTTGATGATTATTCACAAAAATAATAATCTGAATTATTCAAGGCATCCTTTCCCTTTCATAATTTGCATGTTCACTGTGGCAGAAAGCACAATACAGTGCACACTACAAAACTGGTACTATAAAAGTGGTACTCCAGTGGTTAGCAGTAACCATCTAACAGATTCTCCCCCTCCCTCCAGTGAATTAAAATGAAATCAAGCAACCAAAGCCAAGAATACTTATTAGTGTGCTTTTGTCTTGCATAGATGCTTTTCATACTACTTCCTTTTCTATGACTGATTTTGTTTTGCTGTCTCACAGAACTTTATGAAATCTTCTTGTCGAGAGCTAAGGAACGATGGAAAAGCTTCAGTGAGACAACTGCTGAGAATGACACAGAAGGTGAGCTCTCCTGAGTGCTCAACAACCTCCTATTCAATTTTGAAAACCAGGAAGTCTACAATGGAATTGCAGCATTAAGAATACTTAATAAAAGTGCTCGAGTCATTCCCTACTTAAATGTTTACTTTCTTATAACAAATCAGTGAGTGAGGGGCTTGGCAGTATTTACTGTATCAATAAAAGATGCATTAAAATATTGCATGTGCTAGTTTACTTTCAAATGAATGTTCTCCTCTGAAATATTAGGACTAAGCTCTCATGAAAATATTAGATAAAATGTAAAAAGAAGAAATGGGAAACTAAATTACAGGATGTGCTCTTGCTTAGCTCTGCTTAGATGGTTCTTATGTTGGTATCCCTTCCATGATTTTGGGAAAGAAAAAAATATTCTCTATTTTTGATTGTGGAACTGAGAGGTGGAGAACACATAACATGACACATTTCAGATCCCACTTGGGTTTCTTTGGCTGCCCAGATGGCCTTTCCTCCCAAATCTATTAGGATAGCACTGTTAGAGGATGTTAGTGCTGTTCTGTGTATAATAGAGTTTTTTCACTGGCATATTGCTGTCTCCTGTGGGCGTTTTTTCTATTAAAAGTAGTATCAATTATGTTTTTAAGGTTGGATATATCCTTGTTATAAACATTAACTCCTTGTGCTGTTAGTAGATACTTTTTAAAATGCTGCCATGTGATAGTCTCTTCCATTACTGGTTTTGTTTGCACTTGCTGTAGCCAGTCCTCAATAACTGCCAACTTTGACTGTAAATTATTTGAGTCTCACATAGGCTGCTTCTGTGACTCATCTGAAGCTTGTCTTGAGACAAACAATTTATAAAAAATTCTGTGTGTACATGACTGTAAATATGCTTATCCTTAGAAAACAGGTTTGCAATGCCCCTTGGTTTGTAGAGTGGTGGTTTGTTTGTTCTTTTGTTGTGGGGGTGTGGGCTGTCCATGGGGGAAAGCTTAGGTAATTTGTTTATTTTGGAAAGGTAGTAGTTCTGGATGGGAATGAAAGGGAGAAGGGTCCGTGTAGATTGTGTCAGATATTCTGGGAACATATTAATAAGGGAAGACTTAAGAGTAATAAAATTTTCATCCATGGTTGAAAAGCAAGCAAGCTGACTGTGTTTATTATTAATCTTTGGTAGCAAAGTCTGAAAGACCAACTATCATAGTTCTAGGAGGACAGGAATGAAATGCTGTTTTTCAGGCTTCAGCAGAGCAGATTCTTTTCAGCCTATTCATCAAATTCTCTGATCATCTGCTTTCCAGATGGCTCTTGTCTGATTTAAGCCCTCTGAAAGATCCTTTTCCCCAAGTGCCTTCTGTCTTTTTCACCACATTATCACTAGTATTTGTATCATGTCCCTATGTGGAGGATTGGACAGAGATAACTCAAGGGCCAGCTGAATTTCTGGAGGTTCTTGAGTGAATGCTGCATTCTTTCCTGCCATTTGATGAATGCTAGTCCTAAGGATGCAGAAATATCTGAGTCAAATGAGAGTTAATGAAAGCTCAGAAGTAATGTAACTTCTGCAGATTGCAACTGTGTGGTGAGTTCTGGAGATGTCAGTGAAGTTTCTCTATGTTTTGGTTACCTTCAGTAACAGTGGGACTCGAGAAATGCATGACTTAAAGTAATATGTTTGACTTTGCAAGTGAAGATATGTTGGCTTCTTGTGATTATATGATTAATCTTTTTTTCTCCTCTCTCTATATATTAAACTATACATAGTATATTTTAATGCTGTTGTTTTAAATGACGCACCATGTGAGCTGATTAGGAATGGAAAATTTGAAAAGTCAGATTCCGCTGGATCATGTTTAGATCAAGAGTAGTGCTCTCACTCTGCTCTTAAACAGACTCAGTAACTGAAGTCTCAGCAGGATATAAGAAAGAAAACAGGATTTTGAGGACTGGGTTGGGCAAAGTTAAAATTCTAGTTAATGTAGGGTTAATCTGGGCCTGAATAGACTTGAAAAAGAATGAGTAGACAGGTAGTCATTACTGATAGTTTACCTCACTTTTTGGAGTTGTTGGCATATGCCAGGTATCAGTGGACGTTGTTAGCTTTTGAATTATAGCACTGTAGAAGTTACACCCCAAAAATTAAAGCCAAGTAACTTTTTTTCCTCATATGCTAAGTCTTTGTGTCTATGGCAGTTTTAGTTTGAAGTTTGTAGAATTTGTCAGTTTTAATAAGTGTTGGTTTTGCTTGCAGATGCAGGAGCATCTGTTGCTGATCGTGAGGCCAGTCTGGAGCTAATTAAGTTGGATATATCACGCACATTTCCATCCCTGTATATTTTCCAGAAGGTGAGATTTCTGTAACTTTAGCTATGACAACTTTAAAATTCTGAATAGTTAAACAAGAAAAGAAACCTAACTGGCCAAATGTGGTATAGTTTTTAGAAGTTGTTGAGGTTTTCTTTTGTTTTTTAAAAGAGAATAAAGTAGGGACACTTAATGATGGACTGTAAGGTTTTTTGTTTTTTTTTCTCCTGGATATATTGCATGACGTTCCTATTATTCCTAATGCTACAGAAATCTTGATGCATTTTAGTACACTTTTTCAGGTTTATGATTTTTATATAGATATATAAAATGGCATGCAATATTGAAATACAGTAACTTGTTCTACTAAGAATTAAAATATCCACTCTCTGAAAAGGAAAGACTAACCCTGGATATGTACTAGACATCTTCATTTTTCCATTACAAAATCATTGAGTGGTAATCAGTACATAGGATTATTGGTCTGTTATTTTTAACATCTCAAAAGCATATATGGTAATGCTCGGAGTAAAACCTGGTATTATTCTAGATGTGGATAAGGCAACAATTCACTGGCTTGCTTTCATCTTGGTACTTTCCTGTATGAATGAAGTGATTTGGAAAAAAAATAAAATTTTGTTTTCTTTTCTCCCTGCCCCCTCTCCTTTTATTAGGGTGGTCCTTATCATGATCTCCTGCACAGTGTTTTAGGAGCATATACATGTTACAGACCAGATGTGGGATATGTAAGTATTTTTTGTAACATGTTTATAACATGGCAAATAAGGTTAAGATGTCACGTGTTAGAGTGTATTAAATAAATAGGTTCTCTAAACTTTATGCTACTGGCACTTGAAAAATAATTAAACTTTGGCTTTTATTTCCTGGCAGTTACAATGATGGTAGTTCTTAGAGATAATTAAATAGCTGAAAATGTAGTGCATGTCAAGGATGTATATATTATCTGGCTTGCATGAAAAACTTTAAATGGATATGTTCACAAGGCATTATCATTCTGACAGACCTAAAGTATCTACAGAAAAAAAACAAAACATGCTAGTGGACTTCCAGTTAGCACTTCACCTCTTCTGTCCTACTGTTCTTTCCACTGTTACCATTTCTAAAGTGATACTCTCTGCTTCACTTCTGCATGTCCTAAAATCCAGAAACTCCTTATTGGTGTCTTACTGACAAAGAATAATCACTCCATCTGAGTTCAATGAAGATAAGACCATTTTCAGCAAACATTACGTGTTTAAAATAAGCAAAATATAAAAAACTGTCAAACTCCCCTGAACAAACCAACTAAACCTAATATCTCTCTCTCAATGGTGTCAGCCTACAGAAGCTTATAAATAACGAACAGCAGGGGTTTTTTTTGTCTTTGTTTCTGGGGGTATCTAGGAAAATCTTTTACAAGCTCTAATGCTTCTGGGCTCAAAAACACTTGAAAAGTTTTAAATCTCATCCATGCAACAAAGCATTATTTAGCACAGGGTGTGTCTTCCTCTCTAAATCAGATATGCTTGGGACTCTGCATAAATAACTAGATGGTTTTTCATGTTCAAATGTTTTTAGGCCTGAATTCTGTCATCTGTGACCTCATTTTTGGAGACTCTCCCATATTCTTTAAGTGAGATTATAAACTCTGCACTTTCTGAGACTGCTTGTTCCCAGGGTGGAGTTTTAAAAGGCAAATGAGTAATTTTTCATGGATAAGCTTTCTCTTTTTCATTAGGAATACAACTAGCCTGGATATTTCTCATCACACTTTTTTTTATGTTTATACAGCAGTAAATTTAATGTAATCTTATTTCCACACCTATTTATCCCACAAAAATGGAAAGCTGCTGGATTGTTTCTGATGTATATCAGTACTCTTTTCCGTAGTTGGTTAAAATGCTGAGTGCATTTTTTATTTTTTGAGAAGCAGCAGCAGCATGAATGCTTAGAGATGGTGGAATAATGATCGTTGCAATTGAAATTGGTAAAATTATTTTTAGTATAATGAGTATTCAGATCATCACTGAACAACTACAAGAATGGTGCTCTTCAGTTTTTATTGCAGGCTAAAGTGTTTGTAAGAGGGTAATCATAGAAAAATGTAAACTTGCATTGTAGCTAACCACTTAGAAGTAATTTTACATATGTGAACAAATACTGTTTGGCAAGTGGAGAGATGTGTATTGGCTGTTCTGAAACAGAATTTTGACTCAATTTCAACATATGTCTGGGTCTAAACTGTCCCATATGTGAAGTTTTTCTCCATGATTGCTTTCCCCATATCTTAACAACAAAGTTGAGGCCAAGCTTTGTTTCTTATGAGCTCTGCATTCAGCCTGTGTGGTTTTAACTTTCCTGCATTTCAAGTCCTGAGGATTTGTGATCATGAGACCTCTCAGAACTTCCACTGAGCACCTAAAAACAGCATCTGAAGAAATATTTTATTTCTTGCTGAAATCAAATTGATTCGCGTGCATAAAAATTTATCTGTGTTGTTTTTATTCATCTGGAAATGTTATGCAATGGTGTTTGTATTGCAGACTGTACATGTTTCCATTTCCAAAGATATAAGATATACTGAACCTACTCACCTATGTTTGCCTGATGCTTTTCCCACTTGAAGGTACAAGGGATGTCCTTCATTGCTGCTGTGCTCATTCTCAATCTGGAAGAGGCAGATGCTTTCATTGCCTTTGCTAACCTTCTAAACAAGCCATGCCAGCTGGCCTTTTTCCGTGTGGATCACAGCATGGTATGCACAGAGTTTTCTGGTTTTGAACCGTAACACTTTTTTGTCTTGAAGGATGGTTGATTTATTGATAACTTCCTTTTGTCCTATTGAGAAATGGAGAACTTTAACCTTGATTCTCTGCAAAATTGAGAATATTAGATACTAATCCATAAAACTCCTTCTATTGTTTTGATTTTTTTCCTCTAGAAACATTTAATAATTTTACTTATCCTAAGAAGTCACACTGTGCTATGTGACATCCTCAGTTCTTGGTGGGGTTTGTGTTAGTTTACAACTTAACATTATTTTGATGACTGCTTATGAAGTGCTTTACTGTCTCTACAGATGCTGAAATACTTTGCAGCCTTTGAAGTATTTTTTGAAGAAAATCTTCCCAAATTGTTTCTTCATTTCAAATCATACAGTCTTACTCCAGACATATATTTGATAGACTGGTGAGTTCATAGAACATAGCGACCCTAACCTTAGAACTGTTGGAACACTCTGTTTTTGCTAGAAATCAAGAATAAAAAAATGTCATTTGGTAGGTGTTTATGTACCTCAGCTTTCTAGGTCTTGTGAAATTGTGATGAACTGTTTTGTGCAACCACAGTTCCTTTGGCACAATTCAAACTTTATTATCCAGGATGCACTCAGTTAAAAAATGAGACACATGGGGTCCTGTGTGTTCATTTTCTTGTTGCTGCAGTTATGTGTAACATAAGTAGGGGAGAGGAGGCTACTACACCACAGTAGTCTTATGACTGATTGTGAGTGGATGGAATGAGCATAATCAGCTACTGAAGAAAGTATGACTACAGGAATAGAGATGTTAAAAGCAGAGGGAGGAGGAAATTTAGGACCGATTTGGGAAGGGATAAACTGAAAATAGAGTGAACAATTTGAAATAACAAATGTTCTAAACCAGAGAGTACCAAACTACGTTATGTGCCTGCAATGGAAGGCAGTAATGCATGCATCCTTGAAGTGTGGTAGAGCTGCCAAATACAGAATGTCTGTTCATGTGTGTGTGTAAGGATAAGCTTCATACAGAAACTTCTAACCCATATAATAATTCTAATAGAGTGAATTGAGTTGGGTGGAATTAAATAATATAAAAACATTGTCATCTGAACTTTGCCTGCCTATGAGATGCAGCTTATCAGTAAGCAATAAGTCTCAGCATGAACCACTTCCCAATAGCAGTAATGAGAAAACAGAGAGCACCGTGCTTTGTATCAAAGAAACCACTACAAATTTGTGGGAGGAGTTCTACAATATGTTACATACAGCATGAGCTCTCTGCCCATGTGTAATGAATGCCTTTTAAAAATAAGCTTTGCAAAAAAAATGTGGTTGGACTCTTCTCAGTAAAAATAGAACAGCAATTGTCTTTAGATTTTCCAGACTTTTAATGTGAATAGAAATTCAAAAATGTATCATAGAAATATAGTTATTCAGTTTTCATTAGCAGATTAGTGGGATGTAGCTCTCCATTGAGATGATTTGTGGCTTTAGATTTAGTTTAGGAAACAAATGATGAACAGATCTGTTGACTTTTACCATTTAAGCCATACAGTTTAAGTTATACATTTATCATCTTTGCTTAAGTTCTTACCTGTATATTGTACTCTGAGTATGAAGAGGTTTGTAACTTTAGCCAGAGCTTCCTAAGGGGGAGGATATTCCAGTGGAGGCTTTCCTGTGGCATAAGAAGAGATGGGTTTCAGAGTACAAGTTCTGACTTCAAAAACTGGAGACTTGTGGATTGCTGAAATATGGGAAAAATAAGAGTGTATGAAATAAGTTGTCATCTGCCTATTCTGAGCTAATGTAACTGAGATTTACAGGAAGCTGTATTTTTGTTTTTCTGAGGTAAGTTACAGTTGTAACTGTTTCTTTTTTTTTTTTTTACTTAATTGTAGGATTTTTACACTCTACAGCAAGTCATTACCACTTGATCTGGCCTGTCGTGTCTGGGACGTTTTCTGCAGAGATGGAGAAGAATTTTTGTTTAGGACAGGATTAGGAATCCTTCGGTTATATGAAGATATTCTCCTACAGATGGATTTTATTCATATAGCACAGTTTCTAACAAAACTTCCAGAAGATATTACATCAGAAAAGCTTTTTAGTTGTATTGCAGCTATTCAGATGCAGAATAGTAACAAGAAATGGGCACAGGTGAGTTTCTTGTATATATATATCTCTCTCTATATATATGAAATCAGAGATGTCAGCACATGAATATATGGGCCACTTCTTTTGATGACTGTTTTATAGTCTGCTGCTTGTCTGACTTCTGAGCAATGGGCACTTCCTTTCTAATGTCTTATTCTAGAAATTAAGCTCCATGCTAATATTGTGGGGGTTAATATAGCTACTTTTTATAAGACTGGCTTTTTTTATATTCATTTAATAATTTACTTTGCCAGGTGTTTGCCTCACTGATGAAGGACAACAAAGAAGGAGACAAGAACCACAGCCCAGCACCGAAAAACTAATCCTTGTAACTAATCCTTGAAGTCAATTGAAAATGTGGAAAACCACTTGAAGACTAAAAGCTTTCACATCACTTCTATGTGGAAAAAACACTATAGAAAATGTGAAAATGAGATGGAAAAATGACATAGCTCTCAGCGGAGTAATGAACTGATGAAATCTTCACCCTTTTGCCAGTATTAGTTTTTGTCGTGGGAAGATTTGTTTTCACACAGAATACTAAAACCTATAAAACTGAGAATTGAGGAGTGTTCATATTTAATACTTTAAAAGAATCAGCTCAATGCAATAAACATTTGTAATAACTTCTGTTGGTACTTAAAAAAAAATTTTGAGGCATAACTTTTTTTACAAATACCGCAAAGGCACTTTTTTGGGGGGATGAGGGAAATTCTAAATCTTAAAGCCCCAAAACTGCTATCCAAACCAAATGTTTTGGTACAAACATTACCTCCAAAATTACCAAGTTGAAAGTATTAAGGACCAAATAAGGTGGTTTGGTATGTTTATGTGCAAGATGGTTAAAATTTGGGAAAGGGTATTGTCTTATTGTGGTTGTGTTTTGTTTTCTTTGGTTTTTTTTAAGTTGCAGCTTCATTCTTCAGTCTGGGCAAATGTACTTAACTCAGGAACTGTAGAAGTATTGTGCCCAAACCTATAGAAAAAATAATATAAATTTTAAACAGTGATAAGAACAGGGCTGCTATTTTCACTGTACAGCTTTCAAAGTGAGTGGTGTTAAGCATTTGTTTTGGTGTATTGGTTGTGGAGTAAATGGAGTGGGTATTCTGTGAAAGGGTTTTGCCACCAGAAGTTTTATTTTGTTGAGCCATTTCCAACTAACAAATAATTGTATGTAATGGTGAACACTAGATAATGACAAAGCTATCTGCGGACTTGGTGTTATCAAAGAAGCACCAACTTTTAACGCTTGGGAATAATGCAGACACAGATTTGTTTCTGAAACTATCTTTTATTAGTGTGCAATATTGAAGTCCAAAAGGTTTAGTGATACTGAATTCTTTAATTCTGTAACATCTTTTAACTGGTCATATTGTATGTGTCATGGCAGTTACTTTCAAACATTTCCTGTTCTCAAAGATGCTGTACAACAACCTGTGGTTGTAGGGGACAGAAATTTAATATGGATAGCACTGCAGGTAAGGAACACTTGCACTCTCTTCATCCATTTTTGCTAATATTTAATGTAAATAAATTCCTTACATGTGGGTTTTTTAACTGGTCCCTCTGGAAATCAAGTCAAAATTATCATTATGTATTTTTAAGTGCAGGAGGCTTCCAGTTGTCTGGTGTTTAAAAGCAGAGTCTGCATAATCGGGGTAAAGATTTAGTGTGGTGTAACTTACATTGCTTTCTGGTTTAAAAACTACGTATATGCTACTCATAACATTACGATTTGAAATGTAAATGTCAGATTTTTCTTAACTTATGTATTCACTACTTTAATTGGATCCAATTTGTCTTATATTTTTGTGTTATCTTGTACAGTTTTCTTACTTTTCAACTACAAATCTGTATATAACTGTAAATAGAAGGATCAAGCCTTCCTTTAAGACCACTAGTACCAACTCCTGTGTAAATAAAACTTATAGCAGATGCTCGCTGTGCCTCTTTTCCATTCTCCTGAAATGTGCTCCAAGAGCTGGTGGCCGCGGTGTTGGTGCCTCACCGAGGAGCCGAGGGTAAGCTGGGGCCCAGTTTGAGCCCCTCCGGCCCGACAAGGGCCTGTTTCGGTGCGCGGCAGCGTCTGCGGCGTTAATTAAAATGTTCATTAATTGGGGCGGGTGTGGTCCCCGGCCCTCAGCGCCCCGCCGGCCTCCGCCGCCAGGGGCCGCTGTGGCGGCGGCCGGGTCGGGCCGGGAGCGCTTCCGCCGCCGGCAGCACGCGCGGGCCGCCGCCATGAAGCCGGTAGGGGCTGAGGGGCACCGGCGCCGGGCGGGAGGGGGAGCGGAGACTGGAGTTCCCGCGGGCTTCACGTGGGGCTGGGCGGGATAGGGAGCCGTGCCCAGGAGCAGCCGGTGCCGCCGCGGCCCCGGCAGAGCAATGCGGGGGTGCCTAGGACAGGTATCGGCGGGGTCTCGGCAAAGCGCAGCCTCGTCCCGCGTCCCTCGGAGGTGATTTTGACGGAACCGAGGAATGGAAGGAGATCGGAACGGCTGTTCGGGACAGGGGGCAGCGGGACAGCCCGCGGCGTGTCCCTGGGGCTGTGGGGGACACCGGGAAGAGCCGAGCGGGGTCCGAGCTGCCCCCGGGCCGCGGCAGCGCCTGTGCCCGGCATAGGGACAGTGCCAGGGCACCCCAGTGAAGGCTTCGATGCCCGGCTTCTCTCCACAGCCCTTGCCTTCCCGTGCCGTCAGTAGGTAATCCCAGTCCATTTCCACCCCGAGCACCCTTGGGATTGTTTTGGTGTTTTGGCATAGGACGCCTGTGTTGTCCTGTGCCTCCGGGTTCTCCCTGAGCCCTGTTTCCCACGACCACCGTGGCTCCCTGAGCTTTGGGACCTGCAACTTCTACATCTGCATCCTGCTGCTCTGAGCCTCGCAGGCAGCAAGGCAGCCTTGCCAGGTCCACGCAGGTGCTGGTCAGGGAGAGTTTCAGGCCAGAGAAAGCCATAGCTCAGCATGTGAGCTATGTGTGCAGGAGAACATTTACCCGAGGCTGTGGCCTTGTACTTTAAAGTACCCCAAAGTACTTACCGTGTGTTAGGGAACAACAGCATCCTGAAGAGAGAACAGAGTGCTTGAGAGCACACAAAGCACCCTAACAACCTGTTTACCATGCTTTGAGTGTCCATGTGTCTAAAGTGATAGACATAGGGTTTAATAAAAAGGTTGTTAAACAATGTTTCTGTAGAACATTCATCACGGGTGTCTTTTCTCAAAAACGTAACACGGTTGTGTAAATTTGAAGCTAACTGATGATACTGTTTGGAAGAAACATGTTATTCAGCCCTAATAGAGAGAGGAACTTAATGAGATCTTAAACAGTGAAATAAATTTCACAAAGGCTGTGAATGTGTCAGTGACTTGTCATTTTCTGTTTGTTTCCTAGAGAAGAAACAAAAAGCGAGTTCCAAGCTTTCGCAAGTTACTGAGAACTAGTCAAATAAAACTTGACAACAAATTAAAGAATAAACAGTATAAGCAGAAGAGTGCTGCTAAGAAGTATCGAAAAGAACAAAAGAAGCTAAGGGAGGCTGTCAGAGATGCTATTTCTAGAAAGCCTTTTCCGTTGGAAGAATGCAAGAAAAAGCAAGTTGGTAAGTGCTCAGAGTTATTTTAGTAAGCAAGAAGGTATAAGTGTTACTAAATATTCTGCTGCTTTATGTTGTGAAATTCAAGAAAACTACATTCTCTGTGTACAAATAATTGATGTTCTTGTTGAAAGAAAGGGAGAGTTGTGAAAAATATAAAATGTAGCTGTTAGGGCATCGAAATCTGACAGTTGGAGATGGTAGAAATGTGTTTATGCTGATCATTATTGGATGTCAGAGGGGCAGTTTTCTGGGATAACACAAAAGACATGCATAAAGGTCAGTGAGCTCCAGGTTGAAGTAAGGTGTAAAATCTTTTCACAAGCCTAGGCAGGGTTAGATTTTCAAGTTTGAATATACATACTGGATTTTAATCTGTAAACATCATCTTCTAAAATAGCTGGAAAATACAAAGAAGAGGAAGAAGATGCTCTTCCACTGGACATGATGGATGAAGATGACTTAAAATTAATGGAAGATTTGGCCCAAAAAGCATCCTTTTTAACCAGAGATCTTTCTTCTAAGTGAGTGTTGTTATGATGTCTACTTTTTGTACTAATTCAGCCTTGTGCAATTAATATGTAATGTAATACATCTATTGGGAGGTCCCTTTTAGCCTGGTGTTTCTTTGCAGTTCCAGTTTAGTGTTTCCTTAGTCTGTCAGTACATTCAGTATTAATGTATTGGTGTCTATCACTACATTCACCTGCTCTGCCTGACCTTCAGGATACTGTTTCTGCAGTGCTCCTGCCCGTGAGGTCCCTGGCTGTGAGATGAGAAGCGTTTCTCAAACTTAAAGAAATGCTTTAATCTGTAAACAGTCTTTTTTTCTGTACAGAGTATTCAGGACATTCCCTGGACTTTGGGCCTTTATACATTTTGCATTGCAAATTGCTGGGGGAAAAAAAAAAAGGGTTCTGGAATCCATGTCTGTAAACACATGCAACACCAAAACATTCATACAAAAGATTTGTCACCAGTTTTCTGGAGCAAGGTGTTGGGTAGAGGTCACAGTGAAGTATGGAGAAGGACAGTACTCCTAGTATTAAAATTGTAAGTCTTTACAGATACCCTTCTACAGAAGTCTCTGATTACATGATTCTTTGAAAATCTTAACTTGCCTTTTTTGATGAATGTGAAAACGAGTGTATACCTAACTGCTCTAGGGTGGTTTTAATTTGTTAATGCTGATTAATATCAGTATCAGTTACTAATCATCTGTAGCAGTACTGATTAACATCAGTAATCAGTTACTAATTAATAATTTAGTATAGTTTTGAAGGAAAGTAGTAAATGGCTTTTCATTTCATTTCACAAGTTGCAGTTGTGCTGTACTCTACTGCAGGGTTTCTTGTAGCCACATAGCAAGTTCTTGATTTAAAAGAATTTTATTTTAAACCTTCCCCTCTCCCCAAGCTAACTGGATGTGACATAAGTTTAAAGTCTTGCAAAACTCAAAATTTATTGTGTGTTTTTACTTAATGACATTTTGCAAGATGTAGGTCTATGTGTTTTACATTCATTATGCCAAAACATTTTTAGAATGGTGGAAAAATGGAAGTAGTTGCTTTTTTACCTGTTTTACTAGATTTTACCTCCTTTCATAGTGTTCCCTTAAACTGGAGAACTTTTCAATTGTCTTTACTCTGGTCGACTGTAATAGTTCTTAAAAACTTGTCAAATATTACATCACTTATAAATTACATGTTCATATTAGCACAGACTAGATACTTATGTTCTTATATACTAAAGTGTAGTTTAGGAACATACCTGCAAAAGGTTTGCTGTTGTCCTTGGAGAGTGGGGTGTGACATAGGCTTTCCCAGTAAGCAGAGTAGAAAAGTGATAGGAGTAGTGGTGCAAGTAAACATGGAGTAGGGTAAATAAAAATGTTCACTGACTGACCCTCTCAGTATCACATCCTTGTTTAGACTCACCTGGCAGGTCAAGGCACGGTAAGGGAGAGAGAGGCTGTGGGACATCTTAAGGAAGGCTCTGGACTGTTTGTCCCATGAGAGGATCCTAGTCCTGCTTGTTTGCTGGTGAAGTCCTTCATGGCAGGACTGCTGGGGGTTAAGACTTTAATCAGCCTGAGCCGTGTCAGGGCGGCCCCTCATGCTGTGGGGGAGCACAGGGAGGGAGGAAGGGCAAGTAAAACAGCACCTTGGCCTACCTGAGGGGCGGACACTTAATCCAATTAGTTACCACTAGTGATACACTGTCATACATGGTGGCTGATACATTTAGTTTGCCTTGTGTTTTTCAGTGAACCTGTTCATGTCAAAAAACGAAAACATGAAAGTGTGATTGAGAAATATGAGAAGGTGCCAAGACGAATGCAGACAGAGCCAGAAAAGGAACTCATCCATCTGCTCCCCATCAAAGACAAGAGTGGCATTATTCCTCAAGCTGTGGAAAAACCAGGTAAGACACAGATTCCAGAACTGGTATAGTAGCCAAAAAGTATATAATTTATTCTTTTAAAGTTTCACGGTATTACATGCTTGACACTAGACATTTTATTTTTGCAGTTCTCAATGTTGCACATGATGAAGAAGAGGGTACAGAAGAAATGGAGGAAGGAGAGGGTAATAAAACATTATGTTTGCTTTGTGCTGGGTTTTTTTATGTTTTTTTTTTTTTCTAAATCACTGCCATATCTGAAGAATACTTTGCTGTTCCCTAAAGAAGTTTGTAGTTTAAGTGTATTTCGTTCAGATTTTTTGGATATGTTCATTACCATGTTACCATGAAAGCATAACAGTTATTCAAAGCTTGCTTTCTTACCTGTTAGATTCTCAGGACCTGAGGAATAGCTGGCTTCAGAATCTCTTCCTTTAAAATTATTTTTGTTTTTTATCTGGAACTGAGTTGTTCATGAAGTTCCTTTTATCAGTTATGCTATCTTTGCTAGTAAGAAGGATCATATTGGTCTTACATAAAGAATATATGCTATGGTTCTGTTGATTACTCAGATCATTTTGAAACGCAGTTCAGGACATAGGCTTGTGTAGGCTTTTGAGTGTCTATCTTTGTCTTTGAAATTTTTTGCTTAGAACATCAGAATACCAGGAAATTGAGATTTTTGATTTGCTGTTGGTTATCCAGTTAGGAGTCATTTTCAAATAACAGTTGCAGTTCTAACTCTGCTGCTTCTGGGTCATTATTGTCTAAATATAATCTGAAGCTGAGAAAGGACATAACAAAGTAATACTCAGAAAACACAAACAAAACAATTGTATTTTTAAAAGAAAAAGTGAATGTTGAATAATTTGCTGCAAATTGCAGAGCGCTGTGGTTTCTTGGCACAGTTGGGGTAATATGTTGAGTTTCCATGTTCCCA